CACCCCCTCCCACCGAGGGACCCAGGCATCCGGGCGCACCGCTTGCCGTGGGGCGAGAGCTTCTGGGGGACATTGCGTTTCTTGATGAGGGTCTCAACGGCGTTGCCGTGCAGGAGTCCCCGCGGCGCCCGCGGCTTGAAGAGCCCAGGGTAGCGCTTCTCCAGCGCCTGCTCCCGCCTGCCACAGGCTTCGCGTGGGCACCCGCACCCGGGGATGCGGCGTGGGGTGGCGTGGCCATGGCCTTGGGGTGGTGGCCATGGGGTGGGTAAGGGCTGGCCATGGGCTCAGGGTAGCCATGGGATGAGTATAGGGGTGGCCATGGCCATGGAGTGGCTGTGGGGTGGACACAGGGTTGGCCATGGCCATGAGGTGGCTATAGCGTTGGCTGTGGCCATGGGGTGGCTATGAAATTGGCCATGGCAGTGGGATGGATATAGGCGTGGCCACGGGGTGGCTATAGAATTGGCTATGGCCGTGGGGTGGCTATAGGGTTGGCCATGGCCACGGGTTGGCCATAAGATGGCTATAGGGTTGGCCACGGCCATGGGGTGGCTATGAAATTGGCCATGGTGGTGGGATGGATATAGGCATGGCCACGGGGTGGCTATAGAATTGGCCATGGCCATGGGGTGGCCATGGGATGGATATAGGGTTGGCTATGGCCATGGAGCGGCTATGGGGTGGCCAAAGGTTTGGCCATAGCCATGGGGTGGCCATAGGGTTGGCCATGGCCATGGAGTGGCCATAGGGGTGGCCGTGGCCGTGGGGTGGCCATAGGGTAGATATAGGGTTGGCCATGGCCATGGAGTTGAAATAGCGTTGGCCACAGCAATGGGGTAGCCATGGGGTGGGTAGAGGGGGTGCTGGGAGGTGCTGGGGGGACCCGCTCACCTGAGCAGCTCCTTCTCCTTGAGCTCCAGCTGCAGCATGAGGGCGCTGAGCTCCATGTAGAGGTTGTTGGCGCGCTCCAGCTTGCGCTCATAGTGCTCCCGGATGTCCAGCGCGTGCCTGGCACCCGGGGCACGCGTGGCGTTGGCACACACCCCCCACAGCACCCCACGGCACCCAGCACCCGCCGTACACAAGGACAGGCACCCAACACTGGTCCCCACCCTGATGCCCCAGTGTCCCGTGTCCCGTGGCCCCACCGGAGCTCCTCGCCTCG